TGGTCGATATGATTCTGTAATTAGGCCCGTCATAATTGTCAGCACCAGGTCCACTGGGCTCTTAATCTGGCCCTGACCGCAGCCTGTAGGTTTAAACAAAAGGGATGTAACAACATGAAAACATAAGAATAAAACAGTACACCATAATGTGTTGCTCTTGAGGCTGTTAAGGTTGCCGCTTTAGGCTTCTCTCCTCCTCCAGGTCGAAAAGGCTGCGTTCGTGCTGGGTCCAAGATGTGGTTGGTGAAGGAGGCGTTCGATGTGGCTGTGTTCGGAGTGATCCCCAGTGTTTGGAGAAAGGCAGTGGCGTCTGTTAGGGAGGTGAGTCTCTGCACTCTACTATCCGCAGTAGTAGCCATAAGGGATCTTGGTAAAGTCCAGGGGTATTCAACACCGGCCTCTCGCAACTGACCTGTGACCACTCCAAGAGACCTCCTTCATTGCAGTGTATTCCTAGTTAAATCTTAAAAGAATGTGAGCTCGGATGCCTCAAATTCATATGGGGTTTTACCCCGCACTCCTGCAAGGAATCGTTTTTTTGTCCAATAGGGAATGATTTCTTACTATAATGTCCCAGTTTGCCTCAGTTGGGACCCTGTCTGGACTTGTTGATTCTGTAGCAGCCATCGAACACACCTGTCGAAAAAAGGATTGTTTCTGTCAAGTGCCGCAAGTAGTGTGGCAATTCGACTGGGTTAACAGTGTCTGGAATGCCTTGGATCTTAATATTGGTACGCGTGTTGCGGTCTTCAGTAATATCTACTCACTGCATCAGAGAGGTATGAGAGATATGAGAGGCTTTGCATTTGCTCTTTCAGCCCTTGTACATCATGCTTAAGGTCCATGACCTCCTATTCAGTGGCTTGTGTGCGCACTGTAATTATCTGTACTTCAGTTTGGACTATGTCCAGGTCTGCTGCTGACACCTGTCTGAGCTCTCTTGGGAGGTTAGCAATGTCCTGTTTAGTGGCAGGGGCTAGGGGGTCTTGCTCTGCCGTTTCTTTGAGCAGTGTCATGGGGGAGGTTGTGTCTCCAGCATCTGAGGGATCTCCATGGGAGTCTGCCCTGTTCATCCCACTTTTCGACCGGGCCGCAATCTTAGATGAAGGAGACTTTGCTGGAACACGCCTGTGGCTTTTGGCTTTTGGGATCTACGTCCAATGTTGTCAGTAAACATTTAAAAATGTAAAGTCAAAATAATTACATATCCTCGCGTATAATAGGTCAACAAGACTATATAGTCTATGTAAAATGTGCACTAATTTATACACACATGCACATGGGGGTCATTTGGACTGCTTTCCCTCCTGGTTTGGATTTGCCAGGTTGGGATATTCTTGTTTTAAAAACATTTAATTTAGGTTCGTTATGACTCTGCATTGCCCTCTTTTGCTAAAAAAAATAAAAAATGAATTGATGGCATAATAGCAATATGCAAATTAGAATATTTAAAAAAAAACTGACATGTTGCATCGATATATCTCTCTCGGTTTTCCAAAAGTTTGGAAAGTTGTAATTATGCCACACATCTCCACATGTTTAAGGACTAGTCCCCAAAGGCTAGTCATAGTTAAAAAAAAATGTATTACATGTGAGTTCCTTTTGGAACTGTGTGGAACTGTGTGTTCTGTGTGGATTTGTTTAGGGATCCCTGTGACATTTGTCGGACATGTTGGCTGGTTGCGTGGTCCCTGTAGCCGGGGACAAGTGCAAAAGAGCTAGGCCTAAGTAATATAACTCCTAAGTGGCAGAAAATTTAGAAGTGAAATTGCAGGGGCATTATCTATACACCTAAACTAGTTCATTGAGCTAAAGTTGCTTTGATGCCTATAGTATTCCTTTAAAATCTAAATGGCAACATTCAGACTAAGATAGCAAAGTTGTAACATCACAGAGTTAAAGAATTCTGGTTTTCAATTTCAAATATGTATTTTTAAACATTATTAAAATCCCATTTAATACAACATATTTTTTTAATGGTACAAAATGGTACAAAGTACAGGGTGCACAATAGTGAACACCAACACACGGTGAGATATACTTATGTCAGGGAAAACGTAATGATGTACCTCTACTTAATCTGTAAGACATAAAGACCTTACATAGCATAATACTGTATATATATATATATATATATATATATAAAAAAAACATAAAACACAGAGTTAATGGGTCACTCACACTTCCCAGAGCCACTGTCAATAAATGAAGCTGCTGTCATGAGATATAGGTCCTACTCAGGGAAGATCAGCTCCTTTTGTGCACTGGATCCAAATCTGCATTGCTTGCATTTTGCCGCCCCGTGTACACTTTAACAAACCTGCAGTATGTGGCCTCGGCCTCCTATTTGCATATATATGTATATATATATAGAGAGAGAGCGAGTACCGCTATATTTATATGCAGTTCTGGGCCGATGCTGGAATGCACAATGAAGAGGGAGGAGGAGTCTGATCTTCCAGCAACAGCAAGTCCTCTACTTTCGCGAACTGCTGGTTGCCTCCAGTGTGCATTGCTTGCTGCATGGAGCATTGCCATGGCAACCAGCGAATCGCAAGAGGAGATGACCTGCGGCTGCTGGAAGATCAGACTTCTCCTGGGCCTGGCCTCCCTCTTCATGATCTTAAACAGCAAGTTCCACTGAGCCACTAGACCACCAGGGAAACAAGTTTCCCTGCCCCCTCCCTGGTCACAGGTAAGAGACAGGGACTTGGAATAAGCCCCATGATTAAAAAAAACCAAAAAAAAATGGTTTACCCCACTCAGCACTTATCCAACTACAGAAACACACACTACATCCAGATACCCCTTCCACTATACAAACAGTGCATCCACTACACAAACACACTACATCCATTACACACACACTACTTCCACAACAGTCACTGCATCAATTACACACACACACACACACACTGAATCCGCTACACACTACATGCATTCCATAGACACTGCATTGGGTAGTCTGTGATTGGACAGTCACAGAAAGTCTGGGCGGGGTTAGAAGGGGAGGGCTTGCAAAGGCAGCAGACAAGAGAACTGCAGCTTTTTCAAGCTTTCATTTTTAGAAATAACCCCAATAAAAGGAAACGCCTTATTAAATGCATGCATGTTTTCATTTAGGGTATATCCTTTAAAAAGTGATTTTTATATTTCTTTGTATTTGGGCAGTGGAGTGTCCCTGTAATGCAGGGTTTTATTTGTGTGTATTGCAAGATAGTTGTGTGTAGAACCAACATATGTATATGCAGGCGTTTATTTACACGTAGTCCAGGTCTGTATCTGTGAGCAGTGACGGTCTTTCAACACAGGTGTTAAAGAGGATCTAGCCCTTGCTACTCCCCATGTGATATGCTGCCAGTTGGGGCGGGCTTGATAACGCACTGGTTGTGTAGCCAGTAGAAGATAGATCTGCAAATGTGCAGATGGTGTCTGAAAGCTTTCACTTACTGCATCTGTGAGCAGAGGAGTCCTTGTGTGGTTTCAAAGGAGACCAAGGTGTTCTTCACAAGGTTATTAGTGAATATCCCTGACAAGAATTGATTAAATAAAGACTGTTGCTTGACCATAAAGCAAAATAGGCCCACATGTGTTTATCAAACTCTTCCTGGCCTCATCAAGGATATCCATGACCCTCAGACTTTATCCATGTGTCTTCAGTTTCAATGTGAGAGACACGGATACAAGCATTATTTATTTTGATAGGGTTGAGCCAATAGTAAGAACATTGCACTCAAGTGGACCAGTTCCAGGCACCTTTTAAGCACTTTACTGAAACAGACATTTTTCGTGTGCTCTCGGCTGTAGCACAAGAGTGTTAAGGTGGATCAATGGATCCGTCACAAATGTAGTACCAGGAAACCCAGGTATACTTAGAGATGTCATTGTTGGTAAGATGATGCCACCATGACCAGGGATTACTTGGCTACAGGTAGATAGTAAAACTTACAGAACACCAAGCCTCCAGACATAATGTGTACTATACAGTTCTTTTTATTTGTCCACACACACATGCATTCACGCGATGTATGGGCATAGCCTTGGAGGAGCCTCTGTTATTAGAGCAGTGGGGTTTTACGGTTGAAAATAAAAACGCACTATCATCTTAAATATTGATATTTGACTTGCACTAGTCCTGACTCCTGACACCTATTTATGTGGCTGGGGCTTGGTTACCAATGCCGTGGTTAGAAAAAGTATTCACAGTGAGATCCTACAGGCTGCCCTTCCCAAGGACCCCTGGGTGTCACTTCATGATCACTCTTCGGGTAACCCACAACTTACAAAACTTGCAGACTAGTTTGGTTTAATATATCTGTGAAGGCATGAAACTCAATGTGGAAACATTTTGGAAAAGAACCCTTTCCTACGAAGATAAAACACTTTATACAGAATTCTATCACAAAGTGCTTTGCTGCTTGCCTGACAGCTCTGAGGGGCAATGTAGACATGTGTACAAATGAGTGCGGTTATAAGCCAGATTCTGCCCCCTTGACCTTGCACTTACATAAAGTTGTGATCTGATTGACTCTTTAACAAAGCATTCAATTAACACTATAGGGTCAGGAACACAAACATGTATTCCTGATCCTATAAATGTTAAAAACACCATAGAGTCTGCAGGGAATGATTATACTCACCAGAACAAATAAAAATAAGCTGTAGTTGTTCTGGTGAGTACAGTGTCCCTTTAAGGTTTAAAAAGAAGCCAGAACCAACCTCTTTATTTGAAGCGACTCCATTTGTTTTGAGATCACTCCCATTACAGGAAGGTGGTAAAGGGCAGTAAGTAAAAATAAAAACATACAACAACCTTGAAACTGAAGGACCAGAATTGAAAAATGCATGTATTCAAGGGAAACTGATAAGGTTCTAAAAATAACCTTGTAAACCTATGTCATCTTTATTTGTCTCACGCACATTATCTAGAAGCAAGGCTGCCTGATTCCAAAGATCATTAAACTGGGAATTGTGGGAACTTACCAGGGAATTGCAAATTTTAGTCCGAAACAACAGACTTATTAATTAGTAATAAAACAGCGAGTACAAACAATAGTAACAAATCCTGGGCTTTTTTTAGACTAAAAACACAAACCTCTAATTCTTTCTCCACCCTTATCAAATTGAGTGAATATACACCACAAATGTGGGTTTATCTCATGGGGTAAACAGTTAACCTGGGTATACAGCTTTATATAAAAAAATAAAAAAAATTATTTTAAAAATCCATTTGAACAAGTGCCATTTTTAGTTGTTCGTTTGTATTTAATATGTCCTGAATATGCGATTCTAACAGGGTTATTTACTAAATACTAAATTGATGAATTAAATATGGAATGTCAAAATTGCAAAACTAGCCAAGGTAGATAAACTGCCCAAATCCGCTGATTTGGCTCCTCAGTTTGGCTATCCTTCTATTCTAAAAGTCAGCGATAAGTAATAACTCTGCAAGACATTTAGACATTTTACAAAGAATGATTGTTGAGATTCCAAATGTAATTTTTTTGAAAAGGAGTTTATTTTTTTATATGTTCTTACAGAATGTAACAAATTAGTCTCTGTTAACAAAGATGTCCTTCTATTTTGTGTTTGTTTATTGTTAATCTTTATTTAAAGTTCACAAAATAAATTAGAGTCAAAAGACTTCACTGGCGTCACGGGTTTTATATAACCATTTCAGTCCCGTTTGGTGAGCAGAAATGTAGAGTTTGTCAGTGGTCTTAAAACCGGAATTTCTTGGAGTTGCAGGGTATTGGTTAGAGCGTCAGTGAGTTCAAAGTGCACCCCCAGCAAAGATGAGCTCCAGGGCTGCTTGTATGTCGCCCCCTGTTGCCTGTAAGGCCCTTAGGCTAAGCTCTTCATCACGTATGCCCATGTCACGCAACTGTTGGAGCTGTGCCTGCCACTGGGTCTGGTGGAGAAATGAATAAAAACAATTGTATTAACAATGCCAACATTTAGTTGTAGGATGTATTGGCTACTTTCATATAGATGCAGGAATCTGAAACGTTTTACAGACACTTAGCAAGACCAATTTGTGAAATGTGGCAAGCTGACCAGCACTGTAAAAATATAAGAATAGACAAAAAGGGGGGGAAAAAGCCATGAATCGGAAGATTTGATTTATTTGTTTAGCAAATTCTACTATTATTGCCCAATATTTATAAAATATGTTATCAACTTTACTGTTTACGTAAAGTTTAAGTTTAAGGTTGCAATGTATCAAACCGAGATACATTTCTATTCTGTGGTTCTTAAAAGCCTAGATTGGTATTGCTGATAGCAACATGTACGAGGATATTAAGATAAGGTACACGCAATATATATGTTAATACGCATAACAATACTATTCCTCCAAGGATAGATTTCCAGTATACCTCATTGTATCCTGCAGCATTTCAAACTTTTTTCAATGCTATTTATACAACAATAAAAAAAAAAAAAAAAATGATATTCCATGTGTGTGAGTGAACTTTATATTAAAAAAATACAAGACCAAAAAATGCTGTATCTGCTGTGATAAGATGGGTAGAATTCATAAGGTAAGCATATATAAAAAAGAAAAAATAGGGAAAAAGAAAGTAAAATGCAAGGACCACACATGTGATAGCATTCATTTTTAATGATTAATATTCCGATTGAAGCTATGCCGGGCTTCAGAAAGAAGGGCCATGAGATAATCCAGGTCCCTTCTTTACTAAATCTGTACATTTAAAATAGTACAACCGCTTCTGTTAGCTTAGCTAACATCTTAAATCATGTTTTAGGAAGAAGGATAACCTTAAGTAACATACCAGGTGCCAATGCAACTGGATTCATGCATTTTAAAGATTTTGGCCCAAATAATTTGTTATTCACATGCCAAATTTCGTATGGTTTGCAAATACAATTTAAACGTTTGCACCATTCTTCTCAACTCTATCCACTGTCCTATTATTCCTCATTTTAAAAGATCTACTCCTTGCTCCTTGTACCAGTACACTCTCTATAAATTGAGGCATGAACTTGAAAAAGGCAGCCGGCCCAGGGGCAAGGGCTGCAAAGGTGCAGGACATTATTGATTTGCTCTGGGTTGAGTGTACAGAACATCTAAAATGTGATTCTTCTGTGGTTAACAAACTTAGGAAAGCAGAATGGGCCACTGAGACTGTAATGGTCGTGCCAAATCTTGGACTGTTTGGAGGCGTGACGTACCAGTGTACAGCTACTTTTCTGACTCTCCCTCCGCAGTGTCTACTAATTATGTTTTCTCCGTCATCATGAACCAGAAGGTTTGATAGGAGTTGTAGTTCAGTTCTATTTATGAAAGCTCAACTATAAGTCTCAGAAACTCCTGCTCTGTTCTACTCAAAGAGCTATCATATCTAATTTCTGCAAACCGAGGTAAGCAGCTAATGCCTGATCTGTACTTTAAAGGAACCCTCCAGGCACCATAACAACTTCATTGGGTTCACCTTTCACATCTTTACATCTATTTTCAGAACAGAACTCTATGAAAAACCTGCTTTACTTTGTGAGGCTATTAAGCACGGGAGAGGAGCCAGTTATTGCTTTTAGCTTAAAAGAAAAAACAAAAAAAATACTGCATCTCAGTACAGAGAGGTCATTGCACCATAATCAATACAATGCATATAGGTACATGTAACAGACAAAATCATTCCCATTGCTATTTGCGTGTTTCATTTCACCTGCCTAGTGCATGAGTACAAAAATAAAACGTCTGACACAGAGTTTCTACATGAAGTAACCAAATCTACACGATAACACACCTGTAGTGAAGTTTGGCTTGATGCTTGTAGGGCATGCTGGAGGGCTTGGCTGAACAAGTCATTTGTGATTGGTGTTCCTGATTGCACACTGGATGACATTGGGGATGTCCCCGAGGAGTGACCCTAAAGGAGAATCAGCAAGCATGAGATGAATAATTTGTTTAAGATTAGAAGAAACAACACATCTGTTACAGAATATCTTTTAATAAAGGTTTAATAGTGGATTATCGAGAACAATATCAGATAATAAAAGGGATTGCTCTGACCTGTGTCCCCGGTGTTGGAGTATGTGAACTGCTCTCTGGGGTGCTGGCAAGGGCAAGAGCTGTGGCCAGTTCACTTTGTGTGATGGGACGAGGACCTGCTGCCCCTGTATATCCTAGAGATGCTGGGCGAGACCCTGATGTGCTACTTGAAGGGCCAGAACGGGAGGCCTTGAGAGGTAAGAGCAGAAAAACAAAAAAAAAGAATAACTACTTAAATTAAAGATTGATACAAACCACATAGTACTTATTTCTGCAGAACTGAAACAAACGTTTAAATTAGCTGATCTATATGATCCTTCCTATTACATCCGAAAGCTTTTACATCTAATCCTAGCTAATGTTTTCAGATTGATGGGGAAGGAAGGAGCACAGCTGACTGGAAAATGAAAACTCTATTCAGCAGAAATCGTTTTACATAAGCAAACAGGATATAAACGATAGACAATTATTATTTTTAACCTCTTCATTAGCAAGTTATTGCCATCAGCAGAAAATGAATAAAATTTGACTAATGTTTGGGAATACTTAAAATGTAAATTATGAATATACATACAATTTTATTTGTTTTATCTATTCATTCATCTTTTACAGAAATATTGAGGGATAACCATTTTACAGATTATAATGTATACCATATCTTGCAGTGTCACGTGTAGAAAATGTGACAATAATAAACAAAAATTCCTCTTATGGGTATTTTTCCAGGACTGAAGCTTCCTAAACTTACAAACTAAATGTAATTGTTATATCTGTATGTAACCAAAATGAGCAAATACAGTAAGTACAGATATACAGATTAGCTGTAGAATCCAAGGACATAGCAAGCTGTTCTTACAGACTGCAAAGAACTCCTGTAGTGTACCACTTCAAAATTTAAATATAGAGACTAAACAGATACAATGGATTTTTTTTTTTTAAGGAAAGAGGGAGGACACCAAATTAATAAAACAAAATACATGTATAATTACATTATAATAGGCAAAAAACTAATAAGTAGAATCAATATAATTGGTAAAAAGTAAAAGTTGTAAAGTTGTCCAGTCGGAATGTGGACATCTAAAGGATTTGACTTGCTGCGTTGGTCAGGGCAAGAAGAATCAGAGGAGGTGTGTGGGGCGGGGGAGGAGCTTTGTAAAATAAATAAAAAAGTAATAGGAACAAGAGAATCCCCAAGAAGAAGTCCAGGTAAGGCACATTTAGGAATGTAAGCAGTGCAATGGTGTCTCTCATCCATTAGGGCAGCTATTGATTTCTCCAGTATCTGCAGCATCTCCACCTTGTCCACAAACACCCTGTAGGAGGACACCCAACCAGAGTGGCAGTGGAGCTCTACCAGATATCTGACTGCTAACACCAGACAACAGCCCATGGAACATTTGAAGTCCATTATGGAGGTAGGGGTTTGAAAAAGGAGCAAAAAGTCAGCCTGAAACACCAGGTCATCGCTGTTGATCTCAGTCACAACCTCATTGACATAAGACCAGAAAGCCCACCAGTTATGGAAGTTCCCGACTGCTTGTTGTCCGCAACAAAAATTTGGTCACGGTGTTAGCCCCTTCCAGGTTTATTGGGGTGCGATACCACCACAAAACGGCTAAAGATTGCATCTGATATAAATTAATTCGACTATATTTTGCACTTCCAATCCATTCTATAATGATTTCAAGAGGGAACCAGTTTGAGGGCACAATTTAACTTTTAATTAAGGAGTTTAAGCATGCGTGGGATAGGCATAAGGCTTTCCTAGCTATAAGATAAGGCCAGGGACTAATGAAAGTATTTAGAAAATTGGGCAGACTCGATGGGCCGAATGGTTCTTATCTGCCGTCACATTCTATGTTTCTATGTTAATTTCCACATATCCTTGTAAACCTAATAGAAATCAAGCAGGATATCCTAATCAGTATAGGCAGCAGAGATATAATGGATGTTAATGATTAATGCTATTCCATGCCAGTAAACACATTACACTGCTATATACAGCAAAACGATAACCGTAAAAAGGGTAAAAACAGTTCCGCTTTAATGCAGGAAGTAAAGATTCACAAACACTTACAGTTAAAGACAAACAACTTACACCACAAGATATTGTTTAGTTCATCTAAAACATTCTCCAACCCAGCTTTTCTGTTTTCAGATTGGCACACTTTTATCCTAAAATTAGCAATTTGTTTGTCTACTCTCCAAATTTAGAGAAAAAACTTCTTGGTCCGTAATGTGAGGAAGGCTGAACTTGATGGACACATGACTCTTTTCAGCCTATGTAATTATAAGAAACCCATATTCCTCCTGTTGGTATTAAAACCAACTGCAAACATAAAACCATAATTATTTGCCAGCTTTGCAAGACAGCATTTCAATTTAGGATGATTCAATTAAATAGGTTTTACCTGAGGAAAATCATCCTCATCATCTGAAAGACCATCAAAGAGGAACCCACCTGGAGGGGGGAAAACATTAGCATTCCAATTATTTCAGATCAACAAATCGTAAAACTAATTGTTCAATGCAAAAATACATGGGGTTATGAATTGAGGTGCGGATTGTCAGTAGTTTAAAGTAAATTCAAAATGAATTTAGTCAAACTGAAATAATTTGGAGACTTTCACCTATTCGGTTTTTGGAGTTTGAATTCCCAACAATTCCCAATCTAGTGAATAACCCGGACAAGCAAAATGAGAAAAGAGCTCTGCTCAAATGTCTTGTAATACAAAGGCCACATGTAGTTAACCAGGAGGAACGGGACATTTTAATAAAACACTTTATATATAGGCAATATTATTAGTCACGTGTAAGCTTAGAGTAAAAAGGTTTAGTAAAGTTAGCTCAGACAGTGGGAGGCAGAACTAGAAGGAGGAAAGTTAATCTATTCTTAGATTTTTATGAAGAAGTGGGGTTTTTGTTATATTGTATATATTTTAAAAGGTTGATGACAATGTATGACAGTCATACAAAAGAATTAAAGGTAAATAATAAAGTGTATATGACAAAAGAAAAGGGATGTAGATACAGGAAGACCATATATAGCAGGCAAGAGGAGAAGGAACACAAACTAGAGACATACAGGGTGCGCTGGCTGTCCAAACAACGGTTCTGAGTTTCTTACCTGGCATGTGCAGGGTGGCAGGGGGGACCGTGTGTGCGGAGGAATCTGGTGTTGGCAAAGTAGAAGAGCCGCTGACAGAGTGTAGAATCAATATGATTGCATTAACTAGAGCAGGATGAGAGGTGACCAGCCTAGTAGGGAGAAACATGACAGCAAGTGTTCCAGAATTACTTTTTTTTTGGGGGGTAGGGGGTAAAATAGTTCAGAAAACTTTCTGCAGGTCTTTCACAGATTGACACTTTAAGGGTTACACTTACGTATCCAGCATAGTGGGGTCAGTAAATACAGTGAAGAGATCTTTATCCTGTAGAACGCCTGTAGAAGGGGAAAGTGACTAAGATATTGATATTTAGTTGGCACATATCCCAAGCTTTCTTAACCCCTTAAAGACCAAATAAAGACTGATATAAGCTTATCTAGCAGTTCCAATCATCCTATAAACAGAATTGCTGCCAGCCACTAACAAACACTCCCTTGTCCTGGCCTGCAGCAGTTTTAGCTATGTTTAAGTTTAGCATCTTATTTATTTAAAGTATAAATATTTTTGCATATGTTTGAAACACATGCTGGTCACTTTTAACCTAGAGAATCCCTTTAAAGAATATATTTTTATGACGGCATAGGCTGCCATTGATCCTCAAACCCACAACCACATGTTCTGTGAAATCCCCTATTTCATTTCTTTCATCTGCTATTTTTTTACCCATGGTTTCATGTGACAGTTCTCATTCTGTTTTCCCAGTGAGATTTCATCCTAACCTACACAAGTCATGACTTGTCTCCCTCCTTTAATGATCCTACTCACCCATAGCCACAGAGTCAGAGCTCAGGCCTGGAGTGGCCACAACTATCTGTTCCAGGGACTCCCGGCTACCCAGAAGCTTGAATACCTAAACAAATGAGAATATTAGAGGAGAATGATATACAATGTATTTATTGTAATTCTACACAGTAACTGGTTGGTCGGAGACTGTACGGTTTCAAATATTCACAAGGATTCGTAAGGAACACAAGACTAAACATTCCACAAAGATCAAGGTTTTACAATCTTGGTACACATTCATGGCTCACAAACCCAATACTGCAAAAATTACCTTGGACAAGCTAGGGGGTTTTGGAGGCAGTTAAAATCATTAGGCATCAGTCGCAACATTAAACAACTGAATGTACATGTATGGTCATTGGACAGTAACTGGTAGGACATTACCAGAACCAAGCTACGGATATGCCTTTCTCTACCTTATCCAGTGGTTAGTTGGGAATTAAGGCAGATGGAATCGACTGTTAACAAAAAATGATTGAGAAATTTTTTTTACACATTTAATTAAATAAAGAAAATCTAAAAAGAGTTTCGAGGATGAGGCTCTGACACCCATCCATTTCTTTGTTTGAGGGACAGATCAAGGCCAATTGACCCCCGTTTTTATAGAATTAAAGAAAATAAAGTTAATGACTTCACATACACCTGCATTCATATCTACACTATTTGCATTTCCCGGCTGGAGGAAGGGGGGATCCCTCTTGTTTCTACATTGTAAGCAGAAGCAACAGGCAGACCCCTACCAGGCTGGAAGAGGGCTTCACCAATGAGAGCTTATAAGGATGATCTCAAGACTTTTCTAGCCCTATAAACTGATAAACCAAGGATCACAGGAATGGAAAATCCCTATAAATCTTAATTACATGCTGGATTACCCTCTGACCGGAATTCCACTCACCACATACTGTAGAATAAGCCGAAATCAGACAGAGGCCATTATCAGCCTGCTGACTTTGGAAAAGCAGTAGTTGATCACAGTTTATGGGATAGGTGTGGATACCTGCCTGGGAAAGGAGTTGAAGAGGAACAGGCAGAGGGGACGACACCTATTTGGAAGGAGAAAGCTACAGGCTGGTCGGGTGGAAGAGTTCCTGAGAGACCCCAGTCAAGCTTCGGCAACTGGGGCTGAAACATTCCAGTGTCCCTGAAAGCGGCTAGGAAGCAGACAGGGCAGAGATACTCAGTAGGAGTATGGGAGCTCTGTCTCACTATTCAATGCATTTTGGCTGAAATTAAGCAGATGTCTGCAGTTGACAGAGACACAGGAACTCGTTCATGACCTACCTAAGTCACTGCAGAGTATTCCTCGAACATCTAAAGATCTTGTTCATATAAAGGTCATAGCCTCTATACCCACTCTCTCTGGGAGTCCTGGAAAGACAAGTCGTGTTTCAATCGTAATTCCTGGAGGTCTATTGCCAACTACCACATACTCTGGCTGCGAGCCTGCAATGGGGACGGGGAACTCCCGAGATGCAACCCATTCCCTTGCATGGAACACAACGGCCAACAACTGACATTACCTTTCAGAGATGCTGATCTGGGCGACAGGAGCAAGCCGGATCAGTGGACATTGCATACAGGCTCTCGCTGAGGCCTGAGACCGGTGGTGTAAATGGCTCTTGATGAATGGGATGGTGTCTCTCTACTGTACTTCTATTACTTTTATTCCTAGCCTGGGTGTAGGGTGACCACAATCAGAACATGGTCAAGAGCAGAGCGTTGTTGATATTTTCTTTAGTGCACTCAAATTTTAGTATACTGGTATACTTCTGTGTTTCAATGCACTGTATCTACGTAACTAAATATGCCTTTTAACACCGCTATGGCTGGCAATTATTTTACCTTATACAAATATTCACGTCTTTCTTGCATTTAGTGCATTTATTGTTGCCAGTTTATTTTGTGTAATAAATTATCTTCTCGCGTCATTCATTTACATGACTTACTGATAAAAAGAGCTGTTTTCAATGTGCCAGCTCAGCTTATGATAACTATGATGTATAATTCTTATAAGTTAAACAGATGCATGTTGGTGATTTCTTCTGCTTGCTAAATGCCATCATCTCAATAATATAAATAAATGTAATAATTTGGCGGCATCTTGTGGCTAAACTATGTATTACACGTCAATTTGAATTTTTTTAGACTACTTATTTTACCCATTAAGAAGAATACATCTATATGCTTTATTCCCCATATATGGGGTTGTCCACATATTTTGCAGGTAGAAGCGTAATACAGACAAATTCCTATTCATGATTAAAAACATTTAGGGACAGCGTCAAATACATGTAACCAGTCAGGTGCCCCACCAACTTGAAAAGCCACCAGCCACCACTGCCCCAGCCACTACTCGGATACATATAAAGTTTAATTTACAAAAAGAATTAATCTTTAAACACATTCAACAGTATTATACTGCCACCCAGTGGCTTCAGCTGGTAATGATTAGGAAATGCCACTACACAAGGGCAAGTTCTGCTTTATTACTGGCATAAAAACTAATAGAGCATTATTAATATTATCATCATTTATATAGCCTCAGCATACTCTACAGAGCTTTACAATTATAACTTATTATTTGACAACTAATTTACATACGGCATATGACAAGAATTAGAGAAGGCCCTGCTCAAACGAGTAAAACATCTGTATTAAAATAAACACAACCCCCCCTCACATAATTACAGATTAATAATCCAGAATGGATAATCTGCATGGACAGTATCACACCATCTGATATAAAGTGCATGCAATGTCCATTCCAGATTTGCACAGAATTAAAACTCAAGCCAGCAAACTGCAAGTTACAAGTTTTTTTCTGATTATTTCTGAATCTGGCTGAATATGTATAGATTATGCTTGTTCTCAAAGAAACACTGTATTTGTCATGTCATGTCGGATAGGGGCGCTGTTGATTGGCTGAAAGAGTCAGCTGACGCTCTAAGCCATTTCTTAGCTCTCCATTCATAAAACAGCTTGAGAAAAATAAGTATGTTTATTTTTATTTGAACACAGTTGGAAAAAAAAAAAATAAACACTGCAGGGGTTCAACTTGGTGATTAAGTGTCAAGGAGCAGCATCTAGGAAGTGTAACGCGTTTCACGCCTCGAGAGATTAAGCGACGGTTGTTGGAATAAAGCATTATCTTGCTCATTATAAGATAATATCTATGGAGGCTCGCAGGATCCTCCATAGACATCAGTATTGTACTCTTGCGCATGTGTGAGAGTACACCAATGATGTTGGCTCCTGGAGGATGAAACTCCAGGAGGTGAAGATCAATGATGGCATCTGCTGAGGAAATCATTAGGAAAGTATAACTCCCCTTCACATCACCTCAGGGTCACCACACACACCAAGATATGCAAAGGCCCCCAATGGTGACAAAGCCACTTTAAACATCTCAAATAATTCCCCTTAATTTCAGCCTTCATAACAAAGGCTTCTGTTTCAATAAGAAGGACAGGATTTGTGACAGTTAACTTTGCCTGAGTGTTATGCATAAGTCTACATATAAGATTTGTGACGACTAAGACCCCTAGTGACAAAAAGTGGTTACTACACATAGATATAAATGTATATTCTTATATTATGTGAAATTCTTTTAGTGTAGAGCTTTCTTGTTTTACACTTCTAATGTCCATGAAATATTGCTAAGGTGGTAAATAGCGCATTTATTCACTTTGTATATTTTGTATATTTTTCCTTTTTTGAAGTAGATTTTATCATATTGAAGAGTTTAAACCCCTTGGTGGAATAGACTATTTATATTTTTTTTTATATCTTACACATAATAATATACTCGTACATATCAGTTTATTCTCTAAAAACAGAATTGTAATGAATGAAAAGCTAAATTGCAATATTTGGGCAAAAAGGATGAATGTGAGAAAACATTCCAACTCAACTGGTCACAGCCTAAATATTTCAACCTAAATTTTGCAATTAAGTTTTCAATTCTCTGCTGCAATTGAATGTTTAGCAAATAAACCTATGCTTGTTTTGTGTGTTCTGTTCCACTGATCTTTTGAGTTAAATAAATCTAAACACAAGCTGTAGATGGGATACTCACCGCATCTCGGTAGGCCGAGCTTGTGTGGAGGGCTGTGTGTAGAGCACGGAACTCTCGGGCAGCGGCAATTTTATCTACAGGCTCTGAATGAAATAAAGAATAGGTTACAAGAGCAGGATCTGATCATACTATGTAACTAGTTTAGAAGCATCACTTATTGTGGGTGGGAACTAGTAGGTATGACACAATTATGCAAATACCAACGGTTAAACCTAATTTAGAGTCACAGAGGTTGGGTGACTGACTACTCAGCTGCCGTAAATGGGAACAAGGGTCATGCTAGAAATACATCTGCTCTCATTAGTTTTCTTTCATGGGGATAAACCATAAATGATTAACAAATCTAAACACCAACAAAGACCCTGATTAACTGAGACGTACTCAATAAGCAACTTCGCTGGTAGGCTTTTAAAGGAGCACTCTAGGTGCCATAACCACTGTAGCCCATTGTAGTGGATCTAGTGCCCGCATTCACCTGGCACTGACACCTGGTTCTGTGTCAAACAGTTTTCAAGCCGTTTAAAACAAGCAGAGCCCTCCCCCTGAAATGCAGGGTTTATGGGTCTGCCCTATTTATCAACAGTGGGAGTTTTTTTTTTTTAGAAATTTGGATATTATGTTACTTTCTACAACATGTTTGCTAAGAAAAAAAAAAAGTATCAGGCAAAAATACTAAAGTAAAAGTTACAATTTCTTGGTGAAGAGGCATATAGCATATGACAATAGGAGATAAAAGCTCTAGTGGCTCTACACAATTTAATTTTGACAATATATTAAAATCAAATCCACAGGTTACAATGGAACATCAGAAAATGTTGCTGGTAAAGAGGCTATAGCTTTGTATTCGGTACATACAAAAAAAAAAGTTAACTTAAGGATTAGCCTGGAAGCCAGTTTATGTTTACAACATAGAGATTGCCATATACCTGGCCTGGGTGACGGTTCTGACCACGCTCTCCGCAGGACATGCACAGTACTTCCTGATTGGACACCATAGTATTCTAAAGTCTGATCATCCCTAAGCCTCCGGCCACAGTGTATGAGATCTGAGTGGGAACATTAAAAAAAATACCAATGAGTTAATGACAGCTCAGTTGTGGGAACAGTACAAAGCAGAAAACACAAAGAGGAGGCTGTACAACTACATTGACCTGTTTCTTTTATACTTCCTTACTGTTCAGTATGTGGATGTACAGTATAGTAGACTGCACAATGTGGAAATGTGATTGCCTATTTATGGCACAGTGGAATTGATCTATTTGCCGAGCAGATTGTGTGAATTTGCTGGGTGCACTGTTTACAAAAGTATACAGAGACTGTAATGCAAATACGGCGACGGGTACACTGAGGATGTTTAAAAAAGCTGAGGAAACAGCACATTGTGAGCTGAGGCAGTATGGTTTGTAGATACTAAAGAGGAAATGTCACCTTTCTGGTAGCTCCTTCTGTACTCTCACCACCAACCATTAAAGAAAAAAAAAAACAGCTCTTTTTAGGTCATGAAATACAAACACCACCCCCCCCCCCCATAGATAATTTATTGAAAATAAATTATCAAGATGTGAATGGACACTAGGTACTCTTTCCAACTGTCCATTATTACCTTAAATGAACACTACAAGTATTGTCGAGACTATAATAGTTACAACAGTATTCTATGACTTCGTGTACACAAGGTAGGATTAGGGATGCATGTGTATATGACAATCCTTTTCAATGATTTCTAATGCAAGAGTGTTCAGTGGACAAGTCACAGCAGAAGGTTGCAAGAGAAGGTAGAGATTTGCATTAAGATGTGTTTTAGCATAATGGTCTATCAATGTATTCTCCACCAGGTACATGGAGGGGATTAACAAGAGCAGAGAGTTTATTCTAACATTTTGAATAGCCCTAGTAACTCTCCTAAAGCACTGTGATATACACCAACTATGCCAGGGAGTGCACAATGAAGTAGGGAGAGTTTAGGTCACAGCAAGGTCATGTGATAAAGAGGCAACTCACCAATCAGTTCAGGGTTGGATAATGACTCTGGCATTGTGGCCGCTATGAGCTGTTTAACAGCTGATACTTTGTGTCCCATGGTGGAGCTTTGTCCTGGGAGATGCACGACAGATTTGAGGTATGGGGTCTGGTCTGCCAGTTGAACACAGATGTGAAGCTCAGACATCATTAGAGATATGTAGTGCTTGGTCCTTGGATTTCTAGGGAAAGAAAAAAAATTATTAATGGAGCTCCGTTGAAAACCAAAATACTGATCAAGGCCACAGAAAAAGAACACAATAGATAATCAGGTTCAGAGTCTGCAGCTAACACATTCTCATGGCTCCAGGGTCTGACACCAATAAAATCAATCAGCGACAACGCTAGCTACTAAGACATAACATAACATCAGGCTGTGAACCTAATGAAGTTTCCATTTCGTGACTCCCCCCCGCACTCACAAACCAATACTGGCAGACATTCCTTTAAACAGAACGGTATCTTACTACACTCTTTTGGTGTATACCTGAGAAATCATGCTGAAAGCTTATGCAATCAGACTAAAAGACACAGCAGAAGGTGTTACTGCAAACAAAAAGGTCGAACTTACAGGGATCCTATATAAAGAGCACATTTTGGGGAATTGAACATTATAATCCAAAAAAGCAAAAGTGAAAACATAGCCAACTTTAATAAATCTGGATATTGTCTAAAATTTGAATTCACACTGATATTTTACAGAATAACCCTGCCAAAGTCAGGACACTGTACACTAAAGCAGTATGTCATGTGACTCCATCACTAAAGACCTTATAATATAACCAGGCATCCAAGTATCAAAAGAACATCAAACCCACTACGTAAAAGGACATGCGCTTTATACATCCCAGCTTACATTTCAGTGGTTTATGTCCCCTGTGAAATGAACTGGCCAGTGGATAAACACTACGTAAATAGATAGGATCCACGGCAATGGATAGCATATCTATCGCAAAAGGCACATGTTTGTTCCTTGTATATTGCCCCATTGCTTGTATAAGAGAAGTGCAAACAAAAATATTGTATTGGCTTGTTTATCCATAGGTAACACACCACACAGAAAAATGTGGAGGACTGACAAGTAGACTGCAAACTTTAAGTCAAATGTCAGGATTAGAAGAATAGCAAATTATTTAAAAAAATGCATGTTATCTGTTGCTGTGGAAGATGCATTGATCTCCGGTTTAGATTCCCTGACTATACCACCAATGTTCCTTTTGCTCCCCAAAGTGTAAGTAGGCTAGGGATACCTATATTTCCCTGGGACAATGTTCCACCACAACACAGACCCTGAGAGGACTGAAATGTATCCCTGGGGGAAATGATAACACCCAGGCATGCATATATGAACTAGGTTTAGCTCATTCATCCACGAGTAGGCACTATTTTGTAGTTCTCACACTCATCATCTTAATTCATGCATATTGTCCTATGTTTCTTTTACGTTTTTACACTCATATAAGCTACAGTCTGGACATACACGAGAATCTTCTTTTGTCTATGTATGTTACACAATTTTCTTTTTCTGTACAATACTAGAAATGGATATCCTTGGCACTGCTAACTTTTGGTGTCTGTTTTGCAGTGATCATTAATTTACTTGTAATTTTTTCCAGATATAATAAAGGCCAAATTAATCATAATTGTTTTGGCCTCGGAGATTTGTTCCAATTTAGCTATTATGGTCTAAAACTCCCTTAAAGTCTCCACGATAACCCTGTCACCACTGCCAGTTAAAGAGGGCACAGACACATCCGCTTAGTGAAAAAGAGGCACTGTGCACTAAAACATCCAAAGGTGTTGCAACAACGCTGTTTTTGTCGATTAGTGAGGCAGTTCATGAATAAAATTTGATTGGCTCCCAAGTTACCTGATCACTTTGGGAGCCAGTCACTGTGATGACACTACGCTGCAGATAGCCATGGAATGTAATCATTGTAAATGGCTATGACAGTTATCACTCAGCCTGAGGCCAATCTACTAAATAATATGCTATGTTTTAGGAATAGACAGCATTAGAAATAGCATCAAGGGGGGCGGAGCCGAACAGGCAAGCTAACAAGACGCACATTGCATGAGCTCCTGCAGTGTAGGCCCAAATTCTACAGAAATCTGAGGAATAACTGCTGCGAATTCCCCACAAACCTGCCTGTGAGCTGGGGGAAGCAACCACGAACATGCCGGTACCTAACCTGAAGCCTGACTTGACCGGGAACCGCAGCGGTAAAATGAGGCCTAGTGGAAGTAGGGGGGAAGGACGGCCGCCTTCCCGCTGGATTCCAACTGCGGCACGCGGGTACAAAACACACACACCCCCCCCCCCCCTATGGACCGGTGGGGGTTATCCCGGTCCCCGCCTGGCGGGCTATCCCGAACCCTGCACCAACAGACAAACATAAAGATCTCCATAAGAAGCGAGGGGACGGGAGTGCCCAAGATGGCGGATCACTCCGACACGACAGTGTCTGACAAGCGACAGCGACCTCCGGATGCAGAGGACGCCGGGGACCACGCAAAAGATCCCATCACAATAATCTTTGACCGCTTCTGGGCCAAATTACAGACACGCTTACAGCCCGCAGGGCCCTGCCAAACATCACCCATGAGGGTAAGAGCAATTGGCGGATGGGAGCATGGGAGTCCTCCTCAGGGCAACTTTCAGACCCTGGCATCAAAACCCCACATCGTAGGCCCTCCCGAGCTGAGAGCAAGAAGGGGAGTCCCCCAGAGGCGCTGGCCACACAAGCGGAGAGAGGCAAGACGAACACCCAAGCGACCCGATCTAAATCCCGGCACCACCCCGAAAGGGCCGACCCTGGACCATGAAGGTTCCCAGGCTCGTGGCCTATGAGCGCCAGCTCTCCCACAGCTCTGGGGCAGGAGAGAATTCCCGCAACCGAGACACCGCGGCTCTACACTAATGGGACGGAACTCTGGCGTGAGGACCAAGCCTGGACGACAGCCGACAACAGGAGGTTGCCGAGCATGCAGCGACAAGACTCTCATCCCGGTACTAGATCAAGGGAAGAACTCCCTCCTCACCGCTGCTGCCTTGAGTGACTGCCTGGATGTCCTCATCCGCACCAGACAGGCGGAACTCTGCACGGCGAGGCAGCAAGGACAGCGACCGATGAACCCCAGGGACGATACGGACCTACCAAGCTGGGGCATCGGCTGACAGTGCCACGTGCTCCCGAGCGAGGTACCCGTGCCCCCCCTCAGGACTTACTGCTATATTCCAGCTGTTGATACCCAGGCAGACAATATTGGCAAGCTACTGCTACCTGCTCTTAACATACCAACGCACAGTTAGTTACCAAATATTTTATGACTCACAGCTAGTGCCTGCCATTAATCTCTGTTGAACAAGTCTTCATACGCTAACCAAAAATAGTACAAATATCAATGTAAACTCCACTGTTACTAATCTACTTTATTATTTTACTTAATATTATATCTAGTTAGAGCTGCCTGTATAACCATCGAGTTTACCCTGAATAACATAAGATGCCTAACCTATGCCAAATTACTTGGTAGCCTCAGATGGTGCTTAAACCTGACACCCATTTAATGTTCCACGCGAAATCTATGTGGATAAGCAATTGATTCCACTCAGAACCTAGATCTAGACCCAAGTTAAGCATGTGTTAGATCGTTAACTATTACTATGTAAATGCTCAACTAATAGGCACTATTTTACTAGTTGGCGTGGAATAATATAGCAACCCCAGCCTGTTTAAAGTCTATAGAGAAAATGAGGGCTTGCCTGTACGTACACCTATTAGACTGTATAAATGTATGTAGGCTTATGTCAATTCACACCCTAACCATACTATTACGCATTGTTGCTATTATGTCATAGAAGAGACTAAGCTACTACAACACATGTTGTTTAATACTCGACTTAACCACACATATATATATATATATATATATATATATATATATATATATAAAAACCTGTGCTAGAATTTTCCTGTACCTTCACGTTACAATGTTTGAAATGTGCTAGAGGATTGCCGTTGGGGTACCTCACAAGCAATTGTTATAAACTTACGCACAACAAAAATAAAGAATAAAAAAAAAGAAAAAAAAAAAGAAATAGCATCAAAGTTTTACGTTGATCACTATGGTGACGCAGATAGTGTTACTTCATCAAAGCATCTCTGGGGATGAAGACAGTAACTGACACTAAAGGCTCTCCAAAACCTTGGAAAAGCTGTAGCCAGGAGATTCATAGAATGGAAAAATACTGGGTGTCTGATGAACATGGTGTGTAATCCCCAATTAAAATTAAACACACACACACACACACAAAAAAGCAACTACTAAATCTGGTAGAAATTTGTGCTGATATGGGCAATAGAAAAAGACTCAGAATAGCCATTATTAAATAGATCTCCTTTTAAACACATTATGCCATGATGGAGGTAGACTGCAGTTGTAGGCAGATATTTTCTCCTCAAAAGAAAAAAATTGTCCCAGTAATTCAATTGGTGCAAATTGGGAATTTGAAAACTGAACTGCATCTGCATCACCGTGTCCCTGCCTTGTAATGTGACATATTAGAACAGGGGGGTGACCTAATATTTGACATGACTCCAACCCCCAGCTACAGATGGACTTCAATTCCCATGATGCTTTGGCTACCACCAGTGGGGTGATAGGGTGAGGGGTATCTAAATGTTGATAACTTGTAATGTGATGTTTTAGAACAGGTGTGGGGGTGGGGACCTAATAGTCAACATGACTCCAACCCCCAGCTACAGATGGACTACAACTCCCATGATGCTTTGGCTACCACCACATAGGGGAGAAGGGGGATCTAGTTGTTAACTTTTAGAACAGGTAAGGAGGACCTAATAATAGACATGACCCCCAACCCCCAGCTACAGATGGACTACAATTCCCATGATGCTTTGCCTACCACCACATAGGGGAGAAGGGGGATCTAGTTGTTGATAACTTGTAATGTGATGTTTTAGAACAGGTAGGGGGGGACCTAATAATAGACATAACTCCAACCCCCAGCTACAGATGGACTACAACTCCCATGATGCTTTGGCTACCACCACATAGGGGAGAAGGGGGATCTAGTTGTTAACTTTTAGAACAGGTAAGGAGGACCTAATAATAGACATGACCCCCAACCCCCAGCTACAGATGGACTACAATTCCAATGATGCTTTGCCTACCACCACATAGGGGAGAAGGGGGATCTAGTTGTTGATAACTTGTAATGTGATGTTTTAGAACAGGTAGGGGGGACCTAATAATAGACATAACTCCAACCCCCAGCTACAGATGGACTACAACTCCCATGATGCTTTGGCTACCACCACATAGGGGAGAAGGGGGATCTAGTTGTTAACTTTTAGAACAGGTAAGGGGGACCTAATAATAGACATGACCCCCAACCCCCAGCTACAGATGGACTACAATTCCCATTATGCTTTGCCTACCACCAGTGGTGGGAGAAGGGGGCTCTACTGGTTGACCAATGTTAAGGTTTGATAATTCACCAGCCCAGGTTATTGAGAATAAATCCCTGCTCACAGTCACAGCCATAGCACAGCTTCCCATGATACCTTATAAGCTGATGGACTGATCACAACCGGTATTAACATGCACTGTGTCCAGGTATTGCCATAATATTATAATGGCTGAGGTTATACTGACCGAAACAAGCAGCACTCAGCCCTCTGTTTACAATCCGACCAGGAAGTGACTCTGCTGCAATACAGACACACAAAAAGAAAAAAACTACACTTCCCGACATTCCCCACCGGAAATGCCCTGCAGAGTATCGCCGGTGTGTGAAATCTCGCGAGAGCTTGGTAATCACTGCGGACTAGGAGACGCTGACGTACAGAGCGTTCCGTACAAAGGCGGGATCCAAGTAACTCCAGCGATGCCTTGACAACCAGAGCGCAAAGCATCACGGGAGTTGGAGTTCTTCAGCAGATGCTGGGAAATGTATCATTTTTCCCAGCCCTGCATTGTGAATCATTGATATTACAGTGTGGCAGTATAGAAACCAGTTACAGGGTTAATCACTGAAGGGAGAATTCAAAGCAAACTTCAGATTTAAAGGGACACTCCAGGCACCAAAACAACTTAATCCAAGTGAAGTTGTTATGGTGTCAGGAGGCCCCAGAAGCTTTCTTTCTTAATTAAAGGGAATGGTGTAACCCCAAATCTCCACTACCCCCCTCCTCCACTTCCCAGGTGGCAACCAGCTTTTGAATTTTCAGATTCAGGAAGCAAGGTCGGAGTGCTGCCGGGTAGGGGCACCGCTGATTGGGGGTCATTGGAGAGCGCCGCTAGAGGCAACTTGGGGGTTAAACCGTTCTCAAACGGTTTAACCCCATGAGATAAGAGAGCATGGCACCATAACAACGTCATTTTTAGATTAAGTTGTTTTGGTGCCTATAGTGTCCCCAATTTGTCAAACTAAAAAAATATTCTCTAGGTCAGCTATGCTTTTGGTTTCTCCGGCTTTAAATTTTTAATTCATTTTGAATTCTCACTTTAGTAAACAACCCTGTTAGACAGCTACAACAGGGACTTATTAACTAAACACTGAATTCTAGTGAATTGAAAGCTGCATGGAAACACTAACAAGGTTATTCAATAAAGTGAGAATTCAAAGTGAATCTCTAATTTAAGGCCAAAGGAACCAAACTGGGCTTAGAGAATTTTCCTCTTCAGCTGTGTTGGCCTTAAATTTGAAATTCACTTTGATTTCTCACTATAGCAAATGATCTGACGTAGCCCAATAAGCTGTAACTATGGCTAAATCGAAAAAAAAAAAAAATTCAAATTGTATCTTTTTAGTATAATCTACTGCTAAAAAAAAATGTGTTGGGCGTTGCCAGTGACGCAGCTCCCTATAGAGCCACCCGTACCTGATTTCATACCTTGCGATGATGGGCAGTATGCTTTAGAGAATGACCCTGACAGTGTTAACATTTTCATATTATTTCTATTGCACCATCCCTATACATTGTATTGCTTAGTGACAGTTCCTGTATACATTAAATATAGGAAATGGCTCCAGCACAAAGAGAAAGCGTATTAACCACTCAGAATCTTTCTGATGGAATTTTGTGCTTTTTGTTTTGCACGCAATTATCGGGATATGCTATGTTGATTTATACATCTTCCCTGATAACATCTTTCTTACTCATCCCCATCTGCACTGAACTAGTGCCTGTGGTTCATCCATATTTTCAGTATTATTCATTAAAATGGGAATTATCTGGAATTCAAAGCAAACTTCAAAGGTGGAGCCAAAATAGCCAATTTAAAAATAGAGTAGTCTTTGACCAAAAAATAAATAAAAATGAAATTCACATTGAATTCTGACTATTCACACTATATATCATCCCTCCCCCTAATGATGTTGCAACTCAGTGCTCCGTAATCATTATACATTAAACTCCAAATTGTGGTGACACAGCCTCCCCTATAGGCCCACCTCTTCCTGATTTCATATATCCCAGTGGTGATCCTGTCTGTGTTAAGATTTTTATTTTATTATTGTGACGGAACACCCAAACTCCGACTGAATACCTTTGGCACTTCAGCTTCCTCTCTGCTATCAGGGACTCTGATGCACTTTAGAACCAGTCCCCGAATCTTAACTGGGTTCTCTGATGACCTCTTCCACTGGACCAAGCTGCAGTGAATATAGTTCTAGAGACCCTCTCTCCTGTAGCGCAGTGATTATAGCTATACACAGTAGACAAGTCTGAATGTAAGGGGTAAAATCTATAGTCTCTGCTTTACAGGAGAGAAGGTCTTCCGAGCTATAATCACTAAATCCTGGTCCGTTAGAAGAGGTCTTTGGAGAATACCAGTTAAGCTTCAGCAATTGGGTATGAAGTTCTCCACTCTGGGACTGTGGAGGTACACAGTTAGAGTTCGGTAGCTCCATTACAATTATTTCTAGAGGGCCACATCTATTCATTATGTTGAGTTTAGAACATCCTTTGATAGTGCTAAAAAAATGTTCTGTCTTATCCTATAAGCAGTGGACATTATTACTTTCTGGTAAAAAAAAATAAATCAATTTTGCAAGCTATTTTGGGGGGAGTAATAAGCCTTCCCCTATGTGATTTATTAGTGGCTTTCATGCTAAAGCTAGTGTTAATGTATTGTAAATATATGTTATAATTACATTAGGGATTTATTATCTAAACAGTGAAGTAAAAATTGAAAACAAATTTTGTGGGGGAAAAAGAAGCCACAAATGTACTATTCCCTGGTCAGTTTCATACAATTTTGAATAACACTTAATATTTCTTAACCACAATTCAATTTGTTTTGGGTGAGCTTCAATGGTCACTCTGAACACCATAATCACTTCAGCTTGCGCAGCATTTATATTAGCCATATCATGATGTATTGTTTTTGCCTCCATAGCCTGACAGCCTTCGAATACACCAGAAATATTAACCCAAGTACTCAGAATGCACATGTGATGAACTCAATATTACTATTTCGTTTCCCAGTTAACCAAGCAATATAAGTTTCCCCTTAATTCAGTATTTTCGTTTGACCGAACACTGACCACCCCCTGGCTTGTTAACGTCAAAAGAAACACTTAACTCACATGTTCTCTCTATGTGGCCGCCATTTATATAACCAAAAACACGTGCTATAGGAAATGGCGGCCACTTTGTCTCCTCGACTTGGTCGTCGAGTGCATGGAACTCTATTTTGGAGACTTGGCCTCGCGAACCCCGGGAAAATTGTACCGTTGCCTGCTCCATTCCCAGAAAAGCCAAGAGAGTGCTTTCCGGGGAAAAGACACTCCTGAACGAGGAAAACACTCTCTCGCTATGAGCCAGGGGGAACCTTTGTTTGTTTTTGCATAGGAACTCCCAAACGTTGACCGGCCACTTCCTCCTTTTCCTTGAAACTATGTTGGGCAGCAGCCATATGTGCAGTCGTTCAATGGTTTACCGCAGTGGCGATTTGGCTATTCTACATGGATCTGAACGCTATTTTGAAAACTTGGGTGCTCAGATACCGATGGGGTTCCTACCGATATTGTGGGGGTTCCTACCGATATTGTAGTATTTTGGGGTGTTTTATGTATGGTACCTCGAGTGCCTGGGAGATAATTAGTTTCAGCTAAAGCAAACTCTCTTATCTCCCAGACACAGAGACGCCTCGTGGGTTTACCTATGTTTTTGCTGGAGACCCCGTGCTGTGGGTCTGTTTGTATGAAAAGGCAACTTGGCCATAATAAACCAGTTAATTTTGTACCCTTCATCAAGTCTTGCCTGATGTTTTGGTATGCGAGAGTTATAATCACTGCTTCACTACGGCACCTGGGAGAATCTACGTGCTCTGTTACAGCACACCGCCAAAAAAAGGCTCTAAAAGGCTGGTAAAAGTTTTTTTTGTGAGCCAAAATGTTGTATAAATATGTTTTGCTAATAAACCTGCTTTGAATCGTTCTTATAATTTGTGACCAGTGCATTCTATTCTTACAACGGATAATGAATATAGATAATAAAGGCGTTTATTTTCTTTTATTCATTTTCAGACAAATATTCAGGAGATTCTGACAGAAGTGAGTCTTCTTTGCTTAGTGACAGCTCCCTTTATAGACCACATATAGGAAATAGCTCCACCACAAATAGAAATCTTATAAACCACACTGTGCTCAGAATCTTTCTAATGGAAGTGTGTGCTTATTGTCAACATTTGTGCGCAATAGATCAGGGTGTGCCACGTTGATTTATACATCCTCTCTTATAATAACTTTCTTACTCATTTCCATCTCCAATGAACTAGTGTGGTTCTTGCATATTTACAGGGTCGTTCAGTAAACCGGAAATTGTCTGGAATTCAAAGGGAATTTCAAATTTGAGACCAAAATAGGCAAACTGACTTGAAGAATTTTTTTCCAATTCGGGTATTTTGACCTAGAAAAAATAAATTCACTTTGAAATCCTGAATATTCACACTAAAGTGTGAATTCAAAGTGAGTTTCAAATTTAAAGCCAGAGTAACAAAACTGAAAGTATAGCTGACTGACTCAGAGAATCTCTCCATTTTGGTTATTTTGGTCTTAGTCTTGAAGTTTACTGAAGCAGTGCTCCATGGTCATTCAACTCCAAACTGAGTTTAATTAAAAATAAAATGCAAATTGATTTAACTCCTAAATGGCAGATTATTGAGCAGTGAGAATGCAGGGGAATGATCAATGCACAAAAACTGCTTTATTAAGTTGTTTTGGTGCCTATAGAATCTCTTTAAAGTTAGACAGCCCAGAACGAGACACAGCCACTAGAGGCGGTTCAGAGTTGTTAGTTGACTTTTGGTCGCCTATCTGAAAATAGATATCCTCAGGCTGTGCATGTCCATCATCAGCTGAAACCCCAAAGCATTGTTTCGGTGCTTTACTATGGGGTTGTCCAAATGCGATTGCGGCAATTGGGTCCCCGATGTCTGGGGAGGATAAGCAAAGGCGGAGCCTGACCCAGCGATGAGGGCCATCACTGCTGGATTCAGGTAAGTGACAGGTTTTTAACCCTTTCGGTGCTGCGGGGGGATTTGGGTGGGATTGACCAGTGAGAGGGCACTATAGCGTATTACAGTGCTAGGAATACAATTTTGTATACCAGCCTATAGTTTCCCTTTAACCCCTTAAGGACACAACTTTTGAAATAAAAGGGAATCATGACAGAATGCTTCCGTCATGTGTCCTTAAGGGGTTAATGACACTTCCAAAAGTGGAATCACACCACTGACAGCAATGTGCTTTAACTCCTAATGTGCAGTGTTAATAGCT